CATGCATGAAAACAAATATGGTTTCATGTTTCAATCAGATGTTAACTTGCTTTATACATTTTTCTCTTCCGCTCATTGAAAATTAAACAGATTATTTAATAAAGGAAATTTTAAATTTTGATGTCACTTTACAGGAAGTGTTTAGGAAGGCTGTGCAAGTCACATGCAGGGAGGTGTGACTATGGCTGCAGAAACAAAGTGACAACCCCTAAATGGTAGAGAATTGAGCAGAGAGACTGCAGAGGCATGGTCTATACATCAAAACAGCTTCATTAAGCTAAAGTTGTTTTGTGACTATAGTCTCCTTTAAAATGTAAAGTCTGGAAAACACTATCTTGTGTTTGACTCAAATAATTGATGAATAAATGTGATTTATTTCAGAAAACTGACTATTTGAAATATAAATGGTCATCGACCTGCAAATAATGGATTTTTTTTGTTCTTGAATGAATTAATGCAAAATGGCATTTCTTTTATTTCCTTCCTGTAAGTTGTCAGAAAAATAAGCTCCTAAGACTTTAAATGTTTAGTCAAGATAATTGTTACACATAACACATTTTGTTTATGTTGGAAAGAAATAGATTTGTAACACCACATTAAAACTAAAGGGACAGTCCAAGTAGCAAGTAGCTTACCTATTGTAACCACACAGTGATTTGTAAAAATGACAGCAGCTACAGCTCGATGTTATGACACGGGTGAACTAAGCATTCCTTTCTTGTTCTGTTCGTGTAGTTGAATTGTGTGTACAAACATAGTGTGAGCACTGCGTGCACACCGCCTCTCTTTCACAGATTCTTTCATTGCTTTCAATGAAACAGTCTGTGCTGCATAAAAAAAAGGTATTTGATAAGTTTATACAAACTGTACGTATGTGATATGTCCAGCTGTAGCAATTAGAACAATGGACGGGTATTGCTCGGAATGTTGTCAGAAACCTTCTTAAAGAAACACTCCAAACACCTAAAGCACTTTAGCATGCTGAAATACTTTATGTGTGAAGAGTGTCCACTTTTCATATTAGAAAAAGTGCAGATTTCAATAGAAATTGGCACTTTTATAAAACGAACCTTGGTACACTACCCAGACTGTCAATCGGAACAACAGGTCCTGTTACTTCCTGGCAGTTAAGCTCAGTTCAACTAAACTCAAGAGGCAAAAATTGCCCAGAGCACCTAACTTGCAAAGAGTTCTAATTGAGCTGAATTGGGAAGTCTGTGATTGGACAGTCATAGAAAGTCTGAGCAGGGGAAGAAAGGGAGGGTTTGCAAAGGCTGCAGACAAGAGATCTACAGCTTTTGCAAGCTGTTTCTAGGTATACCTCAAATAATATTATGCTTTATTAAATGTTTGCATGCTTTCATTATGGGTATATACATTAAATGGTAATTTTTCATAATTACCATTTTTTAAAATTAATTAATGTAGTTATTATTTAGGCTTCAGATTATCCCTTTAACTCTACCTCGGTGACTGTTAGAATGCAGCAATAACGTTTTATTCATTAAAGCATGCTTTACTAGGAGGGAGAAAATTGAAAGGGGCTGTTATTGTTAGCCTATATTAGACTGTCTGAATGAAAATATTTTTAATCAAAACTCAAATGAATCAATTCAAGTGGGATTTACCTGTGAAGTCTTATTTAGTGAATTGATTTGACCGAATTGCTATATATATATTTTTTTTACATATATATATATATATATATATATATATATATATATAAGTTTAGTCTATAACAAGATATTAAAATAACTGGTCTGCTTCTCCACAAGCAGAAAACCAGTCTTGGAGCATAAGAAAACTAAAATGAATGTAACAAATGCTGAAAAGATTACAAAAGAGAGTTTTTTGTGAGATATTTGGCAGTTTATTAACAGACTAGTCTCTAGGTCACAAATTACTATTGAATCTGGCTATTTTCTATTACATTTGTATAAGAGACTCGAGTTTAGATTTATTATATTTTTCAGTATTGCAGGATATAGAAAGCAAATATATTTTTTCACACTTCTTTGGAGGATACAAGGCAACACGTTAAGTAGGTAAACAAAGAACAACATGAAGAATCATTCTAATGCTTTCAGTATTGCTTTAACTGGCAACGGTCACGTCTCAGAATTTTTGTTTGTTTTCTATGGTTTTCTTTGGATTTCTGGTGAAACCGTGAAATAAACATTGTCCATGCAGGATCTCAGTTGGTGGAACGGTTGAGCCTCTCAAGCTTCATTTACAGCAAGCAGTGAGCTTAGTACATTCACATTTTAGCCATACTGCTTTTATCAAGTGTCTGTTGTGTACAATTTGTGTTTTACCAATAGATGACAGTGATAGTGGAAATAAAATGTATAACAAAAGAGATTAGAATTGAATTAAACAATAAAGATAGTAGAAATGTAAATGAGTGGTTATGTGATTATGTCGCTGCTCAATTGTCCTCTCCTCCCCATTTGTTTGTGATGAGATGTTTAAGTCGGCCTATAGCAGACCATAATGTGCAGTATAACTCTACATAATTTTGGTAAGTTTTTTCTGAAAGTTCAGATGTGTTATGTAATCGTTTGTTATGTGTTCATCTTAAAACTTAGGTAGCCTGTCCAAGGATGTCAAATATTCCTGTGTCTCTGGTGGTTAGTGGATTTAGAGGTTAGCAGTTCTTCCATGACCCGGACCTGTCCATTCATCTATTGTTGGTGGGTCTGTGTGTCTCAAAAACACTGGTATGTCTGCTTTAGTAGCGTTTAGTAGGTAAGATATCAACAAGTGTGGATGAATGACTGGGGCAGTCAGGTTGGGGGACTGCACCTTGTTGATATGTATCTCCCCTTTCCTCCTCTTCCTTTCTTGAAGATGTCACTGTATAATAGCACAAGTAAAAACATGTGTCCAACATGTGCACCGGTACTGATATTTTTCACTCTTCAGGCCTCTGCTGAGCTGTATGTCTTCTCTTCTTGCCTTCTGTTACATCACTGAGCTGTAATAAATTGTATGGGGAATGCACTCAACTTTTGTTCAAATGTTCCTTAACGTCTATGACAGTGTACTTTAATTCTCTAAGGGAATCTCAACAATTGCTCACTACATACATACTAAGCACACCATGGAAGCTGTAAATAGGCCCAAAATTAGTCAAGTAGAATAGGGAAATTGGAATTTAAAGATCCTGGAATTTGAAAATCATTCAATTGTGTTAAAATCGGGATTCATGTCTACGAGTAAATTATAGGAACATGCCATCCTGGAGTTGACCCATTCTTTTTGTTAATACATTAAAAGCAAGTCAATCCATTAAAAATAAAAAAATTAAAAAAAACTAGAAAAATTTACACACATTATAAGTTCAGCCAGGACTGTTGTAGTTTAGTTGTCATCTTTTTACTGTAGAACTTCCAGATGTTATGACATCATATACAAAAGAATGTAATAACTTCTGGGAGATATGACATCACATACAATACATTAGTATGTTTGAAGCAAAATAATGGAGAGGTTATGCAATAACAAATCAAGCTGAAGGTAAGGGGAATAATACCCATTATCTTTAACAGCCTTTAAAATAGCATTATGAGATTTGCAATTTTAAAACATCTGTTTTTGTGGGTACCCATGATACATTTTTAAGTGGCTAATGAAATCCATGTCCAATCACAGATGTGGAAAGAAACATGTTTGTTACATTAAAAACCAAAAATAAAAATTGTGGTTACATATAAATTACTAATTTAATGTCATTATTTTAATTTCTGCAAGATATACTATATATTGTGTATTTGAGCAAAATGAATCCCCAGCAGCAAAAAAAAATAAAATAAGTAAATACATTTATAGAAAAGCTCAAATTGTTGTGTTATACAGAATGACGATTTTTCCAAACATGTTTCATTTTATTAATTGTAGTGTAATTATGTTATACATTAATTAATACATAGTATAACTAACCTCGTTCGGAATACCTAATCTTTAATTATTCACTGCTGAAGACAAAAGCAGCCATTACATGTGACCTTTATGGAACTTAAGGATGCCAAAATACAAAGGTGTAATAGAAATTTGATTGTTTCAGAAAAGCAAGTAGACATTTAACACTATAATGCTTACATTAGTTGGCCATTAGGAAACATTGATAGCATTGAGCTGTTAATTGTTCCATGTGAGTGGGAGTTTTTATTTCTTTAGATATAAACACATCATGGAAAGGTTGATTTTTTTTTAAGAATAACTGATAACCTATTGTTCCATGTTTATGAGAAGGTTGTTTTTAATTACTACTAATCATAGCATTACCTATGCATGTAAAATTGTTAGTCACGGAAAATAAGAGACAATGAATTGTGTCCTTCTGTTATAATTAATTGTAATCCTTTCTATATACACTCAATATTAAAAGAACACTAAATAATGAGCACACCTAATGGCATGCTATTCCTTCTGAAAATATGCTAAGGGCAACACAACACATAAATTAAGTTGCATTACAAGTGAAATAACAATATATTTTGGTGATTACCACGAGCACTTGCCATTAAACATTGTTTTATTGCATCTAGTGTATAATTAACCATATGGAATAGAAATGCTTTTTTCTTATGGAGATTTGGAATTTGAACTGATTTTGTTTAAAAGAGACATGCAAAAATAGTTGTTTATCTTCTAAGAATGTTTTTAAATAATACATGTATATAAAGTCATAAAAAAAAGAAAAAAAAAAGAAAGTACACCGTCTTTGAATTCTATGGTTTTATATATCAGGACTTAATAAAAATCATCGGTTTCTTAGCAGATCTTAAAATTAGGTAAATACAACTTCAGATGAACAACAACACATGACATATTACACCGTGCCGTGATTTAGTTAACAAACGCCAAAATAGAGAAGCCGTGTGGGAAAAACTAAGTACACCCTTACTGCTTCCTTAGTATTTCAGAGGCTAGGTTGCAGGCAGGAGCTGCTAATCAAATGCCTTTGATTAATTGATCATCAGTAAGTGTGATCACCTCTATAAAAGCCAAAGTTTTAGCAGTTTGCGTGTCTGGAGAATTCTGGTGTGTGTTAACACAATGCCAAGAAGGAAATACATCAGCAATGATCTTAGAGAAGTAATTGTTGCTGCCCATCAAACTGGGAAGGGTGTAAGGCCATTTCCAAACAATTTAAAGTCCATCATTCTACAGTGAGAAGGAATATTCAAAAGCTGAAATCATTGTAGACACTTGCCAATCTTACCAGCAGGGAAATTCACCCCAAGGTCAGACCACGCAATGCTCAGAGAAATAGCAAAAAATGTTAAACATTACAGTTCATGATAGTACAATTAGAAAAAGACTGAACAAGTATGGTTTGTTTGGAAGGGTTATCAGGAGAAAGCCTCCTCTCTAAAAAGAAAATGGCACCATTGCTTAGGTTTGCAAAACTATATCTGAACAGCAAGACTTATAAAAACAAGGCTGTTCAAGTGGAGATTGTAGCCATATTAGTCCAGTGATGTAGATGTAAAAAAACAGATAACATTCGTATCTTGTAATACCTTTTTTATTGGACTAACAGAAATTTTTAATGACAAACATTTGGGAGAACCTCCCTTTCTCAAGTCTAAAGCATTTCGGAGCAAGACAACCCATAGAATTCAAAGTTGAGTTGTGGTACAGAGGTTAAAGCGACATGAGTGCAGCTAAGACACAGGTTTGATAGACACCTGTCGCAGAGGGTCGTAAATATCATGTGTGAAGATCACAGAGTGAAGGGGGAGAGAGAGAAAAAAAAAAAGCAGTGCAGAAGATGATGCTAGAAGGGGGGAGTAAAAACAAAATAATAACGTATATTAAGAATGCATCAATTCCCATCCAAGAGTTACAGAATATGCATGAAGGCCTATATCCAGCATACACAGACACACACACACACACATGTACATATACATGTACACAAGTAGTGTATATGTACAAGTATACACAAGCACATAAACAATATACATATAAATACAACCAAATGCCCAAATATATGTACATGCACACCTGCATATACATATATAATTTGTATTTAAATGTAAAAAAATATATTTTTACAGTTTATTTATTTTTAATTATTATTTAATTTTTATAATATATATATAGATATATATATATATACAGTATATAAAGTTATTATATATATTATATATATATACATGTGTAATTTTACACTGTATTTTTATATTAATATATGTATATATTAATAAAAAAAATACACTTAGTATGACGTTATATATAAGATATAGATATAATCTGTGTATTTTTTTAAAATGTTTAAATTTATTAATTTTGTTTTTATTTTTTTTACTTTTTTTTTTTTTACTTTTTCACCAGCAGGGGGACAGCCGGTCAGCTCAGCAGCACTGTGGCAGCACTGTGGACACCTATTGCGGACGTGTGACTGCTCTTTGGGGGTCCTGGGGTCCTACAGCGCAGAGGGGGGAACGGCAGCGATCGGTAAGTACATAAGAAGGGAGAGTAGAGGGTTAATTTTTTTATTACTTTTTTTTAAATATTGTATTTTTTTTTTAACTATTACTGTGTGCATCGACCGCTCGAGGCACTCAGTACAGGCAGAGCATCGGAAGCCTGCCTGAAGGCTTCTGATGCTCTGCTCTACACTACTGGGTGCCACGTGCAGCAACCCGGAAGTGATCGCTCTGGGGGAGCAATCACTCGGGTGCCTGGCAGTGTGGGTGGGTAATATTGAGGCATCGTGTAATACCCTTAGAGTGGCTGGAAGCGATAATGATCGCTTCCAGGGCTCATTTTGGCCGCGGACATACAGGGTACGTCAGCAGTCGTTAACGACCGTTTTTTGGCTGACGTACCCTGTACACCCACGGTCACTAAGGGGTTAATGGAGTGTTAATGACTGTAATAACTATGCATTTATATTTGTGTATGAGTTCATGTGCTTGTATGTATATGTGTTTATGTGTATGTATATGTATATTTGTTCATGTGTTTATGTGTATGCGTATCCATATGTGTACATATACATATATATGGGTGTATGTATCTGTAGGCACATTTGTATAGGTGTAGGTACATATATTGGTGCTTGTGTGTGGATGTATGTGTAGGTGTGCCTGTACATATATTTGGGCATTTGGTTGTATTTATATGTATATTGTTGTCTGCAACTGTGTATATGTACATGTGTGTGAGTGTGTGTGTCTGTGTATGCTGGATATAGACCTTCATGCATATTCTGTAACTCTTGGATGGGAATTCATGCATTCTTAATACAAGTATTTTTTTTTTACTCTCCCCTTCTGCACTGTTTGCTTGTTTTTTTTTCTCTCTCTCCCCCCTCACTCTGTGATCTTCACACATGATATTTACGACCCTCTGCGAGAATGGTATCTATTTTCTATCAAACCTGTGTTTTATCTGTACTCATATCACTTTAACCCTTGTACCACAACTCAACTTTAAATTCTTTGTGTTGTCTTGCTCAGAAATGATTTAGACTTTAGAAAGGGAAGTTCTCTAGAAAGCTTGTCATTAAAAAATTCTATTAGTCCAATAAAAAAGGTATTACAAGATACAAATTTTATCTGGTTTTTACAAAACCAATGTTGGATAGACGAGACAAAAGTGGAAATTTTTAGCCATTATGCACAGCACCACGTTTGGCGATAACCAAACACAGCATATCAGCACAAATACCTCATGCCAATTGTCAAGCACGGTGGTGAAGGGGTGATGATTTGGGCTTGTTTGGCAGCCATAGAGTCAACCATAAACAGCTAGGCACTGACAAAGATGCATGGTGAGAACAGAAGGAACCCATTTATGTTTCATTTACTGAGAAATGGAGTATAATTTCAAACTCATTGGGAGATACTTACCACCTGTAATGCTTCCCAATAGCATGTATTTGTTTGTATCTGATAATGTACAAGTATGTGTGCACCTGTATATGATTGCATTTATTTGTGTGTGTTTATATGTGCATCTATGTCTTTGTGTGTAACTATGTATGTTTGTATTTGTATCTCTTTGTGTTTACATGTGTACCTGTATTTGTATGTGCTTCTGCTACAGTATTGCTGTATCTGTATGTGCATGTTTGAGGGTATGATTGTATTTTCATTTGTTTTTCTGAGAAGGAAATTGAATTTGTGGCTCAAAGATAGTATTTCTGTATCTATTTGTATGAGCCAGGTGCCAAATACTATTTGTGCATCTCTGCACCTCTGCATTAAAACACATATACATTCACAACACACAGACATACCCATTTGCATTCATATACACCCAACAAATACACCACTCTATTCGCACACACCCACATCATCTTCATTCACACAAACGCACAGTGAGATTCCACACAAATTCATCCCTATAATCACAGTTTGGTGTGTGAGTTTTAATTATGTAAAGTCTTTTCTTCCATACATATGCAATTAATGTTATATTAGCGTCTCACAACAATAAAACCTGTAACATGCATTGTTTTTCTGCAACACTGTGTTTAAATGATCTTACTGTGCCCCTCCTGAGATTGGGCTATGGACCCACCCCTGCTTTTAATACAGTATTGTTTCAGCAAGGCAAAAGAAATGGTGTGGTGTGCTACAATTACATGTGTGAGGATCACCAATGAGATAATTTACATACACTGGTTATCGGTCTCCCAACATATACTGGTAGTTCTCCAGTTAGGAAATTAGATTTTAGCTTTTAATCACTTAAAACCATAAAACAAAACATAGTGTAAAACTGTTAGATACAATGATAAAAGATAAGGTGAGTAATGCATTTACAAGTGGTCCGCCACTAACAGTGGCCAGAAAGGCACATCCATAGGTCAAAAAACCTGCCACACATGGACTCCAAGATGTTCTGAGTCAGCTCCTGAATGCACTAAGGTTCTGGATCCCAATGGGTAATAAAGGAGCGAGTTCTGGATAAGGATGTTCCAAATAGAGTGAAAAGAGAGTTATGGAGGCTCCGTATGCGTCCGACCGGTTTTGTCCGTAGGACTTTTTCGTTTTTTCATTGGTGATCCTCACACATGTAACTGTAGCACACCACACCATTTCTTTTGCCTTTTTGGAGTTAACAGGGGTGTTGGTGACAACTAGGAGACTCACTATACTTCTTGTGCTTTTGTATCTTTAATTGTTTAAGCAAGAGTTTAGCCGAAAAGTGGATGGTGGCACAAGCTTATATACTGGACCTTTGTTTGCTCCGGTGTGTAGCAACTAAAATACATCTGACCTTCATTGCATATGTTGCTACCAAGTTCTAAATTGCCTCTAAAAACATGAGACGCAAAAGAGTGGAGTGCAACTGTATTAGCTGCCTGCAATTTCTGCGTGTTCACTTCTGCCTCTTGGATGAGATCTCTATATTGGGGTCTTAGTAAGATTATAAATCAAGCTTCTTATGTATGCTTAACAAAAATTACCACTGAATTTAATTATCAATTTCTATGTGAATTACTTCAGGTTTTTAAACAGTCACCTATAAGTTCAACATATTTTTGCCATATATGTTTTCATTTTTTATTTTGTGGTTACGAAGTATTCACTCTTGAGAATGAAAGTGTTATTTGAAGGAACACTCTGGGCACCAATGCACATTTGATAGGTTTTAGCCTGATATTCATGTTTTTATTTTTCAGGAGCATAAGTCCTCCCTCTTAAGTTAGCCTGCGTTTTCTTTAAAATGTCTTCATGATATCAAGGTATACAGTGTAGATCAGTCAATGTGAGATCAGTGTTATCTAATTGACTACAAACTTGACTTCACCTTACAGCCAAGCATTCTCTTTTTTAAAAAAACTTTTTTTTTTTTAATCTGTATAGTGCAGGGGTAGTCAACCTTTTAATACCTACCGCCCACTTTTGTATCTCTATTGATGGTAAAATTTCCTTACCGCCCACCAGTGCCACAGTAACTAATTTTATAGCGCAAGTGCAAATTCTTTTATTTTTTTTTAGAAAGGAGGTGTTTTTTAAAAAAAAAAATATGTACTTAATCTATTTTCTTCTCCTTTTTTCTATTTTCTATTCTACTTTTTTTTTTCCATGTTTGTCTGTGAGGTGCTGTGTGTGAAGGATGTAGTGTGTGTGTGAGGGGTGCAGTGTGTGTATGAGAGGTGCAGTGTGTGTGAAGTGAAGTCTGTGTGTGTGGCAGTCACTGTGTGTGTGAGGGGTGTGTTGTGTAAAGTGTGCAAAGGGTCTATGCTGTGTGTAGGTGGGTG